GGGAGTGGACAGCCACCCTGGTAGCCGCGCTCCACGGGGCACTGAGCAGGAGCTAGGAGCAAAGGCACCGGCACGCGAAGCTTAGAGACAGTGCAGCTTCCAGAGACCATGAGGCCTCAAGACACATGGATTCTCTAGAAGTGCACTTTATGGGGCCAGCAGGTGGTATGGTGGTTAAGGCACTGGACTCTCACATGGCTGACTGCAGTTTGAGTCCCAGACCTGGAGGTTTGCTTTCTCACTTTCTCTCTACCTCCCTCTGTCTCTCTCTGGTTAGTTCATGTACCTTACAGCAAATTTAAGAATAATAATAAGGGACCAGTAGTTAGTGTAATGGCTATGTCGCTGGACTCCCATGTAGTCGACCGCGGTTTGCATCCCGGACCCAGTGGCTTAAAACTCAGTCTGGGCGCATGTGCGTGCGTGCTCAAGATCCCGAGAGGAGAATGGAGGAGAAGGGATTGCGGCATGGCCATCCCCCCTGGGGGGTGATTTCTCACTTTCTGTCTCTCTGTCTCTCTGTCTGGCGAGCGCACGCGCCCTGTAGCAAAAACCTCTCCAAAAAAAAAAATAATAAATAGAATTTTTAAAAAAGTGCACGGTGAACTGTGTTCAGACTTGCTTCAGGGTTGAGCACCTGGTTCATTTTTGTAAATGCTCCCGGTGGTTTTTTAATTGAGGCATAATTTTTACTGAGGTGTACCCAGTGTGGGGTGCAGGTTTCAAGGGTACAGCGCAAGTTTCGATAAAGCCTACTCCCGAGGAGCCCTCACGCCTGTGACATCACAGAAAAGCGTAATCCCCCCGAAAGTCTCTCCTGTCTCTTGCCAGTCCAGGCCCACACCTGAGCCCCCTCCCATCCCAGCAACCCAGATGAGTCCGGCCTGCCCTGGGATTTGTGGCCCTGGAACCGCCCGGCCTACGCTGCTTCTGGTCTGACCCCTTTCACTCAGGTGACTCTGAGATGCGTCTGCATCGCTGTGCAGCTCATGTCTTTCTGAATAACACCTGTCCCT